AATATTTGCAAAGGGTTAAAAATTCTTCTGCTTTCTCCTCTTTTCCTCATTATCCATCAAGCAAGAATCATCGCCCTCACCACCACGACCATCATCTCCGCATCCTCCTTCATGATTGTCCTCCTCCTCTTTCCTCGTCCTCCTCCCTCTCTTCGTCTCCTCCTCTGCTCTATCTCCGCTCGATCCCTCGACATCCAGCTCACCTTGCGGGCATTCCTCCAACTCAAACTCGAAGGTCGCGGGATCACAGTTGTCGGTGCCTGTAGCGTACGTGTCCGAAGGAGGGAAGGAGAAGCTGAAGCATCGGTCAAACAAGTTTCTCCCTTCCTCCGGCTCCTTGTCTTTACCGTGTTCCTCCCTCCTCCCCTCCCCTCTCTCCTCCCTCTCCTTTTCCTCCCCTGCAACTCTTTACTACCCCCCCTCCCCCCCCCATCTAATGCTGCCAGAAGCACATTCCTGTACCTCCACGGACTTCTCTTCCTCTACCTGCTTTCCCCACGCTATTTCCTCCTTCTTGTCCTGCCTACATCCCCGCTTCTTTTTCCTTCCTCCACCTACCTCTCTGTGTCATCCTCCTTTCCTCCCTCCGTCCATTGATGCTTCCTCCTCCTCCTCCTCCTCCTCCCCCTCCCCCTCCTCCTCACATGTTGCTCCCGGAGTGCAAACAAGTAGTGATGGCATAGACGTCTGACAAGTGCCAAGCGGCCCCGTTGCTCGTGCAGTTTTCGCAAGACATGGCGACGCTTCTGCTGACGTTGGTTGTCTCCTTCACCACAAAGTACCCGGGCAGGAACTTCACAGTCCCGTTGTACACGCTCGACGGGAATGCAGACAAGAGGTCGAAAGCTGGCGAGAGAATGAGAAAGCGAACAAGGGAGATGAGAGACGAGGGGACGCGGAGGACGAGCGATCCAAGGAGCCGTAAAGAGAGGAACTGAGGAGAGAGGAGGAGAACGAGGATGGGTCGGTAAAGGACGAGAACTTGCCTGTATAGATGGAGTCACAGGGAGGAACTGGATGATTACTGGCTGTTTTAACATTCTGCAAACCACAGCAGAGCTGTTTGTAGATCTTCTCTGAGATGTGCATCTTGACGGTCTGGTTGGCATCGCTGACAACCATGACAGACTCGTACTCTTGTATCAGTGCAAGGTTCTGCATGAAGAAACTCAACAAGCTATCTAGGCAACAGCAAGATTGATGGTAGAAGTGAGATACAAGACAGGAGAGAGAGAAGAACAATGACGATGAACTCACCGAAGTATTCTGACAATCGCTGTCTATACTGCGGTTGGTCTGATTGCTGGATGTCAAGTTGAACACTTCCTTCACCCGACATGTTGGACATGTGCCGGGAAAAGCATCTTGATCACTCACTAGCACTGTAAAGTACAACTCAGCCTTGCTTCATGCTCCTCCTCGTCTTTTCACCACCCTCGATGTTGCAGAAGCAGCAGTTATCGTCATAAATGTTTGCATGTTTCACATCACCACCACCACAATTCATTATCATGTATTCTATCATCAAGTGGATCGTCTCCACTATCATCATCATCATCATCATCATCATCATCATCATCTCCATATTGATCATCATCCTCATCATCTCCATACACTTCATGCTCTGAGCTCCTCTGAACCTTTCCTCACTCTTTTTTGACTTCTCACCTGCCACGTTGCAGCCTGCGCTGGATGGGGAGCTAAAAGCACCGGGAAGGCAGGAAGCGCACGCAGTTGCGTTGTACTGCCGAAAAGTTTCATCCTCTACCTTCTCCCTTCCTCTCATCTAGATACCTCTGACGAATATTCACCAGCTGCGCATGGAGAGCATGGAAGTGTTCCGGACTCGTTGTAGTAGCCAGGAGCACAGACGATCTGGCCCGTGAACTTGCAAACGTACCTGAAGAAACATGTCAATCTCCTCCTCCTTGATTTCTCCTCTTCGATCTCCTCCTCCTCCTCGAACCCGAAAGGTTGCCGACAAGGATCATCTGATGCAGTTCCAACCCACGAAGGCTGGTAGCATGGATATTTCGTTGGGACCTGTTACGGGAGAGAAAAAGCAGGAGCAGGAGCAGGAGCAGGAGCAGGAGCAGGAGCAGGAGCAGGAGCAGGAGCAGGAGCAAAGGAAGGAGGATGTGGTCAGATTGGTTAGCAAAAGATTGCAATCATCTAACCATGCTCGCCGTGTCTTGATGATAGCAATACTCCGGCTCATCGTTGTATCCCAACCCGACAACGTCTCCCCATCTCCCCTCCCACGGACCCCACTTCCTGCCGGCACAGTTCCTCCCTACCTGCTCTTTGCACTCCGACTGCCACCAGTCTCCCGCCCCGAAGAGCGAGCAAGTCTTGTTGGGATGCAGAGGCATCGAGTCGATCCAGTTCATGTACTTGACCTTGGAGTAATCCGTCCACCTCAGCCCGGAGCTGTTTGCGTCCTTATACAGTCCTATCCACACCATGCTCTTGCTGCCTGATAGGAGAGCAGAGGGGTCGGTGAGCCCGTTCGCCTCTCGGACGATGCTGGTGATAAAGTCGTTCTCTGCCTGCGAGGAGACGCTCGCAAGGTGCCCTCCCTCACTCTGGCAGCTCCTCTCCGCATCCCAGAAGGACTTTGCGTCAGACAAGGTGTGGGCTCGGTAGCACCAGGTGAAGCCGGGAAAGAGCTGGCTTCCAGCTGGGCAGACGGACAGCAACCCAATCTGAGGGATCTTGAAAGGGAAGGAGAGGACTGGTGCTTGGTAGACGACCCCATCCTTCACAATGATCTGCATCACCTGTAGATTCACCGTCGCCAGCGTCCCAGGCAGAACAACAGGGACAATCTCAAGCTTCCGGTCCGGAAGAATCGACCCTCCTCCGTCCTGCCGCTGCCCGTACCATCCAATCCTAGGGGTGCTGTCGTCCACGGTGTACCAGAAGCTGGAGTTGCATGCTGCTACCAAGCTTAGTAGGACGACCTCGATTTCGTTGAGGAAGAAGCCAGGAGGAGGATAGGTCTGAGCGAAGAGACGAGGGGCATGGAGCAAGCATGAAACATTGGTGCTAGATTGCGGTGCACGTACTCCATAGAAGTGCAGCTGGTTGACACTGACAACTCCGATGGTCTCGTTCACTTGAACAGGACCGAACTCAGTGTTGACAAAGTAGATGCGCTGAATGGTGTTGGGCTGGTACAGCCGAAAGAATGAGTATCCATGGCAGGCATTCGGAAGCATGCGGTCGATGGAGATGTTGGTAACAGCCGGGTGAGGAGAAGGCTTGGACGAGATCTCGTACAGGTCCAGCCACGAGGCTCCGTCAGCCGATGCTTGTACCTTCGCTCCTATCAGCGCAGCTGCCCAATCAAGGGAATAGCTCTGATTGTTGTAGGGATGGGGACGCGGGATCCAGTCGCTACCCTGCGCTCGGGGCACAAGAGAAATCATGGTAAGGATGACCTCTTGCCCCGGAAGGTGGATGCCGATGTAGCTTGCTTCGGGATTCGAGAAAGATCCATTGAAAGGCTCTCCTCGCAGCGTTTTCTCTGTGCTCTGCGGAATCTCAGGATTGAAGGCCGAGAGCTGAAACCCTGTCCATGCGTCACAACCGCAGTCGGGGTTCGCGGTGGAATGTCCGTAAGAGACCCTGCAATCCGAACGTTGGCATCCCCCTATTGTGTTAGCAGCAGGAAGAAGAATCTCCGAACAGTCCGTCCAGTTTGCTAAGAGCGTCGAGTTTCCTAGGACGGATACCAGTTGGAACAGGAACAGAGCTCCCAGCCGAAGAAATCTCGAAGGTCTCATGGCTGAGATCTGAGAGTAGGGAGAGGAGGAGGAAGCTAACAGGGAGGAGAGGACAGGACTGTCTCCATGAGCTCCGAGAGTCTCTTTGTTCCATCGCTACAACAACACCTTGTTCTCCATTGCACCATTCGGGCTCTATCTCTATCCGACATATAGCGTCGCGCGGACGAATTGAAAACTAGGCCTACAGCAAGGGCACGCCGCCGCCGCCCGCCGGGCCCCGGGCCCGGCACCCGGCGCGGCTGACCGCTTGAAGGCCGGGCCGCCCGGCCGCTGCCAGTGCCACCGTCACGACTGAGTCGGTGTGCGGCCGCAGTGCCCGTCACTGGCTGGCGGCCACTGCCAGTGGCGGTGTGCGGCCGCAGTGCCCGTCACTCAGTGACAGTGGCTGGCGGCCACTGCCGTACGGCAGTCACGGCCGTGGATCGGACCCGGACCCGGCCGCCCGGCGCGTCACTCAGTGACTGCGGCCGCCGATCTTGTCAGGAACCGTTTGAACATGATCGGAGGCTGTGGGATCATTGATACACTGAGTACTACTGCCACACGCCGCCGCGGTGGCCTTCATCATCACCTGGCACACCGCCGGGCTACAGTTCAAGGCCAGTTCATGTGACCGTTCAAAGCCAGGTTGCCGCCAGGCGGCCTAGTGCGGAAGTTGGCACGGGTGACCCCGGCCCGGATCCGATGATGTCCGATCACTGTCATAATGTCGCGCGACGTCTAGAACTGAAAGGACCCTAGTAGAACTTTGAAAGGGCAAGGAGTTAACTCAAAGTTGATAAAGGTGTTAAACAGGCACTTATAATGGATGTAGAGCACAAACCTGCCGGGTTAAAATCGGATGGTGCCAAAAACCTTCCAGAAACTTTCAATATTTTCATCTGAATTTTTCCAAGTTTCAAATTTCAGCGGAGGTATTTGGCTTCTTTATCTTTACGATAATGTACCGGTTGGAAACCCCCAGGGGTAGTCCTCTGCGCAAATGCACTTGTACCCCCTCGTATACGAATATATGGAGGGGTCCTGGCATGTAGTAGGACCGGGATGTGGAGGGTGGTAATGCCACCTACGTTCACGCTTCCGACGTGAACATGGCGGCTTGTGATCGCCTCTGATCGCTCGCAGTGGCTGCGCAGGCCTGGTAGAGGAGGATGAGGCTAAACGTCCTTGTGCTGTTGCTCGTGTTCACTTGGAAGTCAAGTCAGACTCGTAAGACATTGTTATGATTGCCAAACTTGTCTCTGTCCTGACTTGCACAAAAAGCTTTGCAATGGCAACAGGTAAACCCCATCGGACAAAGTCCAACGGCACGATACAGCCATGCAGGGTTTAACCTGAACAGTCATTCAGGAAAAGGGTTTATATTCGGAGGGTAACACCACATATAGTTTTCGTCATGATTGCAGTAACAAGTGTTTGCAGGGTGATAGTGGTGAACGGCATCGAAAGTGTTGTAGACGACATGTGGATGTACGACTTTTCAGCTCAGACTTGGAGCGCCATGTCCTTTGAACAAGGATTCCAATATGTTTCAACAGGCTGCGTCAGTACGGTTGGAAACTTAGTTCTACCTGGTGCACGAGCTGGTCATAGCATGGTGGGCGCGTCGTCCTTTGCGCTCATGTGTGGAGGGTTTTCAGGGTTCAATGGGTCCTCGCACACGTATCGAAACAATAGCAGCCTCCTCGATTGCTTCTGGTTCTCCTATGATCCTTTTCCTCAGTGGAAGCCTCTGCAAGCTATCGGTCAAGCGATCCCCACGCAACGATGGGGACACAGCATGGCTTACAGCGATCTGAACATGATCGTCTTGTTTGGGGGGGTCTCTCGAGAGTCTTCAAACGCTCTAGGAGACTGTTGGTATCTCGACTCATCTGTGGATCCCTTTGCCGGGGGTCGGTACTCCTGGAAGTCATGCGATCCCCATGTCAAATCCTTGTCACCTCCTCCGAGGTTCGGCCATCAGTCTGTGATCTATTCCAACTCCCAAACACTCTACATCTATGCAGGATATGTGTTCAATGGTCTGGATGGCATCGTGCTACAAGATGACATGTGGGTGCTTCAAAACTTCAACCAACCAGACATCTCACAGTGGAAGCGAATAATGTCGGCAACCAACAAGCCGAATGCTCGGGCCTTCTTCAGCATGTGGATCGAGGGCTTCACTATCTACATCCATGGCGGGCAGGGGTCGGGAGGCGTCGGCCTTTCCTCGGTGATGATGAACTGCTGAAGTTGAGAGCACGTGTCTGATTGTTGTGGCTCCCCAGGTGCTCTCGGATACCTGGGATTACAACATCCTCACCAACTCATGGAAGCAATATGCTGTCTCAGAAGCCGCTCCCGGCGTTTCACATCAAGTAGTGATCCAGTCTCAAAGTGACGGCGGACAGACCGTTTCCTTTGGCGGCATTCTTGGAGATGGAATGCCCTCCGGGTATGTGGGTTCTTTCGTACCAGCCGATGGATGGAGCAAGGGTGATGTTTCCTGTGCTCTTGCTCAAAGATATGTGATTGAGACCTCTTGCAGTCCTGCCGTCGGGGAATCATCCAGTGGCGAGGAGCGGGCACATCGCGCTCTACGACGAGTCTTCGTCCAAGATGGTCGTCACCTTGGGGTTGGCGGTGGGCCCGCGACTCTTGGACGACTTGTGGGAGCTGGACCTGACTCTCTTCAAGTGGACCTGCCTTCGAGGCGACCTGCCTTCATGCCAAGCCCCTGTGACTGCGATCGGGCCGGGCAAGCTGGCACACGCTGCGACCTCTCCCTCCGGGATGTGGTCCTTGACGTTTGGAGGCATCACCTCGTCAACGGCAAGCTGTCCCGGGAAGTCGTACAAGAGCAAGACCTTCGTGGCCATCAACGACTTGTGGATCTTTGACCTCGTCGCTCTCCAATGGCTTAAAGTTGACCCAGGAGCCTTGAAGCCAGCAGCGCGCGTCTTCTCTACCATGGTAGTCCTTGGGCAGTTGGAGTCTGTGAAGAATGCTGTGTTGATGGTGGGCGGAGCTCAATGGGACTGTTTCCATGCGAACCCGAGTTGCGATGTTCCGCAACCCTTGAATGATGTCTGGATGATCGACATGGCAAGAAAGGTAATCTGGATCTGAACAATCTTGATCTTGCCTCATTGTTCATCTTGTGCAGGAAACGATTCCAGGAGAAACGATGGTGACGTTCGATGGGATGGATGATTTCATATCTGTGCAGCTGCCTTCATGGTCCAACTTGTGTATATTCTTTTGAGACCTCTCACTTGACTCAGGTGCGGAGACAAGACAAGCCTTTCAAGCTTGTGGATGGATTCTTGGCTCCTTGTCAACTCCAACGCTTGTGGAAACATCATTCTCTTCGATCTGAACAATGGTCCAACAACCATGCTCAGGACATTCATACAGAACACGAATGAAGGAACTTTCATCGTCCTGTTACTGCAACCTGGCAAGGTGATGCATGCTTTGGTGGTGTGCGATGCGATGACATGGCATGTGGCGACAGAACGAGATTGTTGTCAAGAAGTGGGGCCCTCTCGCTCTGCCACTGGCGGGGAGATGGCACCACCTGTGCTTGAGCCTGAGGTTTGGGAGGGTGTACTCCTCCATAGACTCGCTGCCAGACGCGCTGATCGCTCAGTCCTTCCTCTTCATCGACGGCAAACGTATGCAAGAGAACGAGATTGTGCCCTTCGACCCGGACGTCACCACATCTCTTCGACTCACCACCGGTCTGACTCACGTCTTCTATGGCGGGAACGACCCCTCGTCTCCAACAAGCTCGTACCAGTACTTCACTGGTAGCATGGGCAACTTGAGGGTTTGGTGGCCTGCTTGTCCTCCAAGAGAGGACCCCTCTCGCTGCAACCCTTACGCCTTTACATACTCTCAGCTTCAGGACGGCTCGATGTCTTCCAATGCCATAGATCCCTTAACAAACCAAGTGATCACGGCAAGTGCAAGTCTTTGCTTGTTCCCACTCCCACACTGACTTGTAAGACAGGAGGACCAAGTTGAGATCTGGCATGTCGCGATGCCGGTGTATCAGAACATGCTTTCCGGCTCGGTGAGGGCACAAGATCAAGACATGCTGCTCGTGGATCTTGAATTCAGCACACACTTCTCAGCCAACGGGGTTGCCAAGAACAAAGCCAACGGAGGTCCCGCCGCCTGCGAATGTGTCGATGGGAATCAAAATCAGCAGAGCTGCACGAGAAAGTCCTTTCTCACTGCCACATGTGACGGATGTCCGAATGCAGACGCTTGTGTATACGACAAGTGCCAAGAGTTTGACTTGGATTGCGCCGCGTCCATGTCCGTCACCTTCGACGAGCCAGTCATCGCGGGTTACGCAAGGGACGGAACTTGCGAATGTCTGGATGCAAAGAAATGCCCAAGCAAGATAAAGGACTGCTCTTGTCCGACCGGCCTCTTCCGAGTCTGCGCCTCCTGCACTGCTGGGCTCTACTTCGACTCCGTGGACTCAGTCTACAAGGCCTGCAACCTGACAACCAACTCAACGGAGTCTTGTGTCGCTGTTGACGTTGAATGGTGCCCCAGTGACTTCTGTACCCAGTGGACCTGCAGCTGCTTCAGCCCCTTGAACTCAAGCACAACCTACGGCTCTCTCCTTCGCCCCGACACCCCTGGGTCGATCAACTTCAAGTGTTACACCTGCTCTTCCACCTCTTCCTCTTCCTCTTCCAACTATTCCTACTATTCTTCCTACTATTCTTCCTACTATTCTTCCTACTATTACTACTTCAACAACGACCAATATGCAACAGGAGAAACCTGTTGCAAGCATATTCACTTTTGCATGCAATGGACGGTACAGCCTGATGGCAGCTGGATTTGTAGTGGAGACAACTTTCTGGGCAATGCTACTGGCTGCAATGTTGGCTCATGTTGTCTTCCTAATTGGATGTTAGCGTCAACAACTGGCTCATCAGATTCAACATCTCAGTCACAGTCTTCAAACTCCTCTTCATCGACGTCAAACACTAGCTTGCAAACAAGCGCAAGGATGCACGAGGCTGGGGTCGAGAGAGTGAGGTGGGAACACAAGAAGGAGTTTGCGAGGAAGTACCCTAAGAGGCATGGCAAACAGCCTGCAAGCTCGTCAGCTAGCATCAGAACTTCAGCAGCATGCAGTCTTCCTTTCACTTCCTACGTCTTGACGGCATTTCAATTCCAATATCAATACGGATTTGACGTCAGCACGTGCGAGCCATATCTCGCGCAGCTCCTCAATCTTTCGAGCTTCCAGTTCGACTACCTCGCCTCCACGTCAAGTGACACAGTCGAGTTGTTTGTCAACGTCTCCCTCGCCGACGCGTCCGCTGTGTTTCAAGAAGTACAGAGCACATTTAGTTCCGCACAGCAAACCTGGGATTACTACGGCAATTACCTGTCGCAATGCGGCAGCATCCAGTCAAGCTATGTTGACCCTCAGCCTCATGTCTGCGGGGACGGCGTCAAAGTCTCCTCCTCCTACGGTCAGGTGCAGTCTCCCTCCTGCTACCTCGAGCAATGTGACCTGGGCTCTCTCAACGGTCCTGGCTCGAGCTGTACCTCCAGCTGCAAGTGCATCCCCAACTTCGTGGAGACCTCTTACGACTTCTGCATCTGCAGCAACGAGATCCAGTACTCGTTCACCGGGCAGTCTTCCGACGAGACTCCTGGCGCCAACAACACGCTGACCTTGCGCATGGTAGTGGATGAGGCCGTCGACCCCATCAACGGGCTGAGCGTGCAGGCCAGTCAGCAGAACCCCATCGTCTTCACCATCACAGGCCTTGTAGGGACGCAGACGCCGAGTGGATTGCTCTCGGTATCCTGTCCCAGCATACAGCGCAACTTCTTGTGCGGAGGGCAAGCGTGCGGCTCCGGGGCCGAGTGTCCGGGCGTCTCAGTCTGGACTTCGAGCTCTGGGCAAGAGATCGGGAAGGCAGAGTGGAGCCAGCAAGGAACTCTTAAGTTCTCTGTCACCAGCTCCCTGCAGTTCTCACCTCAAGAGACGCCCATGATAGAAGTTTCGTTTCTTGTTCGTAACGGTCTCACGCCCAGGGTGCCGATCAGCATCGTTTCTCTCTCGTGCTCGAGCTCGGGGAACCTGACTTACGTCCCCTTCACCGGGTCGAGCGCCCTGCTGACCTTCAACCATATCTCCTTGACTCCGGGTCAAACTTCTCTGATCCAGTTGATACAGCCCGACGGCATAACAGCGCCGGTGGGAGAGGTCGTGACGGATGCGCAAGACGCGGCAGGGTCGGTCAGCATCCTAGATCAGGCTCTCTTCATGGGCTTGACGTCAGCCATGGTGGGGAAGCTCTCGCAGAACGATACCCTCACTGGCTTCGACAGCTTTGCCTACAAGATCAGTTCGTCATCTCCCACCTTCTCAGGAAAAATCTCTCTCGGGGTGAATGACACTGTCCGGAGGTCGACCGGCGGCTGCACCATAACGGCAGATCATGCGCTCAAGGTTTGCCTGCCTGGCGAGGCGAGCATCGTCATGTACAACCAGAGCTCGCAGCTGTGGTTCAGAGTAGCGAACAGCACTGCATACATGCCCTCCGACACAGCCACAGGCACCTTCACTCAGCCTGGAATCTACACGGTCGTGTCTAGTCCCATGTGCTGCCTGTTGAATGGAAACGCAAAATCGTGCGGTGAGAGGTTGTGCTTGCCACAGGAGCCCAACAACAAGGAGCTCGTCGCTCTGCTGGGAGGAGGAGTGGTGTCCCGCATGCCTCTCGCCGAGCAGACAACAAGGCCGGATGTCTCCTCCATCTCTGACCTTGACAGCTATCAGGCAAACTTCTTCCTCCCTGACCACACCTACCGCCCTCGCTCCGGCTGGAAACAAATCTGTCCGGGCGGCGCCTCCTCCTGCTCCTCGTCCTTGGCGAGCGCGATCTGGCCCTCGGCTCGCTTTGGGCATGCGGGAGTAGCCACTAGCTTTCAGACTGTGCTGATCTTCGGGGGTTACGGGTGTCTGACGACCGTCACAGTCAACGGGCAGCAGGTCTGCGCCAACCTGACGGCTCCTCTCAACGACCTCTGGGAGTTTAACCTCGACAAAGCGCTCAACGGTCTGAACCCCTTCACCCTCATCGAGCTGAGCCCCGCCCTGCAAGGGAGGGTAGGCATGTCCATCATCAACCTCGGTGCTGCTGATCATAACATCTTGATCATCGGAGGATCGTTCTCAGACTACAACCCCTTGAACCTCCTTCAAGAGACCCCCCAGCCCTTCACGTCGAGCGCCATGGAGTTGGATCAAGTCGACTACAACGCCGGCACCACCGTGCAGAGCATCGTAACGACTTCGTCTCAGATGTTGGGTCAGAGCGTGATTCAGAACAGCACGACAGTGATTCTTTTCAGTGGTTTCATCGCAAATACACTCAGCAGCGCCATGCAGACGATCAATCTCAACGCTGCTGACATGTCTCTTTCCCTGTCCAAGATGCCCATCTATGCCGAGAGCCCTTCACCTCGTGGCTTCTCAGGTCTTGCTAAGCCGGACTCAACCTCCCTTTTGGTGTTTGGAGGCATTCAAAGCTACAAGGGCACCAGCGACCTCTGGCTCTTTGACATCTCAACCCAAAACTGGAAGCAGATTCACAAGACGCAGGCCACTGCCGAGACTCCGCAGCCTGTTGCCTTCAACGCGTTCGCCTCCGCGGGCAGCATGATCGTGTCCCACGGCGGGATCGTCCAGCAGTACGTCAGTGGCGTCACTTTCGTGCATCAGGGCGGCAACTCGAGCAATCATGTGACGGCCAACGGCAACCTCTACTTTCTGAGCTCCATGACCAGCGTTGACCCTGCGCACTGGTATGGCGCGATCCCCCGAGCAACCTCCGGCTCCTTCGCTGCCCGAGCCATGCACACCCTCGCTCACGGTCAGTTCCTGCCTGGCGTCGACTCGCTCATGGTCTACGGGGGGGTAGGGGCCCAGGGACAAGCTCTCTCGGACCTCTGGATGATGGACCTGTCGCAGAAGGAGCCTGGCATCGCCATCCAAGTGATCTTCGACAACATAACCCTTGCTCTGCTCAACACCCCACAGGCAACCACAGACGTAGCCACTCTCATCAATGCCTTCCTGTCCATACAGCATGGCTTTCCCTCCATTAAATCTCAGGTGTACGACAGCGTTCGCGTCCAAGGGTATCCGAGCAGCAATCAGACTGTCATTGTGACCTTCTCTGTCTCAGCGATTGATGCAGCCTTCCTCTATCAGAAGTTGTTCACAGCCAACGTCAATTGGAAGCAAACCATCATCAGCATCATGCAGCAGATCAAGTTTTTGTACTCCTCCTCTAAGGTCCGGGTTCCCTCCTTCTCCATGCTCGCCAACATGGTCTTCTCCCCTCTCAACAGAAAGCCGTCAGATGTCAACACGACTTCCTTCTCGGGTTATGTTCTCCAGGGCATCAAGGACTACCTCCTCCCAGCCTACAGATTCAGCAGCTCTTTCCTGTGCACGCCCGGATCCAACCAGAGTAAGGCCCTTTCGCACCATGGTGTTTGCTTCAACTGACGCTCTTATCAGAGTGCATGCAAGGGGTCTGTCAGAACAGCACCGGGGAGATCAGCACCTGGTACACGTACGTTGACTACTGCTACACGGGGAGCTGGTGGTGCTCGGCTCCGTACAAGTGCACGTTGACAGGACCGCTGCACGGGCATCAGGGAGTAGCTTTCAACTTCCAGGGCCTGGTAAGAGGAGAGAGGAGAGAGAGACCCCTGCTTGGCTGACGGCTCTTGCAGACAACCACCTACCTTATCTTCGGCGGAGAGAAGACCAACTTGATCGACAAGGGAAGCAAGGGAAAGAACAACCCAGGAAAGGGAACCTTGAGCAATGACGTTCATTCCACCTACTTCACCTCCAACTTGGCCACTCAGATTCGGCTTGTTACCTCCTGTGACTTCTCCGGGAACTGCCCATCTCCTCGGAGGGATGCGGCCGTCTCTCTCCTGGGAAACACAGGTAGTCAGAATGGACGTCTGCTGGTGTTTGGAGGCCTAGGGAGCTTGTGCACTAGTGGTTGTGAATCACCCATGTACCAATACCTTGAAGACAAGCCAAACTCTGATCTCGTCGTCTATAACGATCTTTGGTATCACCGTGCAAATGAGCTTGTTGTCACTCACAGATTGTTCAGGTACCTGGACCTGAACAATCTGTCCTTTCAGTGTCTGTCGACAGGGAGCTGCTTCGACTCCATCCTTCAATGGAATCTGGTGCCTTGCATGCTGATGCTGCAAACGCAGCCTGACAAGCTTCCTTCAGATCGAGGTTCTTGGATCTCAGCCCTCCAAGCGCTTCGGAGCAGGGATCGTCCTCGACAACACCAACTTCTACCTCTACATCACGGTCAGCCCCTCTGAACGCGCAGGTGGACGTCTAGGAAGTGACCTGATGGCGCAGGGCGGAATCAGCTACTCTTCCTCCACCTTCTCGGAAGACGGAGATCTCTACCTCTTCCAGCTCAAGGACGCCTACTACAAGAGATGCAGCGCTACTGGCCAAGGGCTGACCATCGCCAAGGCAGGAGTCAAGACCATGTTCTGGCTCCAGTGTCAGGTAACCCTCTCCTTCTTCATGTGTCAAGGTATCAACTTCTCGGCAGGATATCTTCGGACAGCCGGCCGACGGAGCTAAGTTCTCTGTCATGGTTGCAGGGACCAACCTGCCCAGCATCTCTCCATCTGTCTCCAGCCTTGGCATGGGGCAGTACAGCTGCACCTACACGCCGGTCAAGGCAGGGGAGTACACCCTCAGCATCATGGTAGGGCGAGGCGGCAAGGACTACCAGGACCTCATCGCGGGCTACGACGCCCAGCCGACCAACTCCATTAACGAGTTCGAGCCTCTCAACGGCCGGCCCAACCCCAACCCCTTCTCCCTCTCTGTTGGCCCGGGCCCGACTTACCCCTCGGCCTCCACTTCCAACGGCGACTTGACGCTGACCACTTGCGGGGTGATGGCGAGATTCACGGTCACGGCTCGAGATGCGTTCGGCAACCGGCGGCCGGGAGGAGACTCCGTTGACGTCGTCATGACGCTGTGGAACCTCCTTACCATGTCCCCGTTGAACTCCAACCTGGTGCCCAGCACAGCAAGGGTCCTCGACAACAAGGACGGGACTTACAGCGCAAGCTATCGGATCACTCGGGCCGGGAGCTACTCCTTGCAGATCTCCTTCTCCGGGGCTGTGGGGGCGGGCTCTCCTTTCATCCTCGAGGTCAACTCCGCCATCGCCGAGGTCAGCAACACGTACGCCTACGGCGAGTTCTCCAACATCGTGACGGGACAGGCGTCGACCCTGTTCGTGCAGACTAGAGACAAGTACGGCAACGACATCCGAGCGAGCCCGGACGCCTTCCCTCAGGGCACCGAAGATATCCAGTTTGAGATGTGCGAGTCCTTCGGAGCTGACCCGACGCTCCCGTGTGCTGGAGGGGTGCAGCAGAGCAGTGTCGGCATCACCATCGACTATGCCGTCGGGCCGACGGGACAAAAGACCTCGCCAGTAACCGGCATGCCCTTCTACGGCCTCTATCGCATCACCTACTTTCCCTTCAAGTTCGGGATCGTAACGCCCGAGGTGACGTGGCGCTACCGCAGCCTGGCAGTTGACTCGTGTGCCTCCAGGTCAAACACAACGGCGTCTACGTGCAGTGCTTCTTCGATACCAACGGACAGACTTACTTGTCCATGTTCCCCAACCAGAGTCAGATTGACACCTGTGTCGCTCAGGTGAGGTGTAAGGTCCTCAGTTTCCCCTCTGACTCTCATCACTTCCCAGCAAAAGCTGACTGCTGCAGCTACATCGCGGAGACGACAGTCGATGAAGATCGAGCAACAAGGCAGGGAGGTCAGGGAGGTCAGGGAGGTCAGGCGGTTTGGCCCGGGCCTGCAAGGAACGCCTTTCGCCATCGACATCCAGTCGAGCTTCATCCCACCCAGTGAGCCGCTGACAGCCATCCTTGTTGACCCTTTGACTTGACCTGGCAGACTACTCGACGTTACACTACTGGCTCATGTTGGCTCCCGTCCTATGTGCTATTGTTGGATTTTCCTGCCAACTCATCTCCCTCCTCTCCCATGCCTTCTCGTCTCGTCAGAATGTCAACTTGGACGGTCACTTCAACAGTCACATCGCGTTCTTGTCAAACAGAGGATGGTCAATGTCGGGCAGGAGGTTGTCAACCTCGGGAAGCCGGAGAGTGAGCGACAGGAGCAGCTCGCAGCAAGCTCATCTGAAGCAGGAGGATGGCCGCTACCAACATGATTCCGAGATCGAGCATGCGCAGCAAAGCAACCTCGGGGCTGCAGGAGGGCAAAATGAGGGAAAAGAACATGCGAGAGGAAAGGGAAAACACATCGAGATGTCGCTGAGGGAGGACCTGAGGGAGCCCATGCATGTTTCTTATCCCATGCCTGTAGCTCACAATGGCGAAGGAGGAGGGACGCAGGATCGATGGCTGATTTCATATCCTGAAGGGCTAACGAAGAGGAATGCGAGTGAGCAGGGTATTGGACCCACTTCTGACTCCACCACTTCTTTGTATAGAACCTAGTTCTTACAAGGTTGCGGCAGCGAAAGGAGACGGGGGCTCATTCAAAGCTCGGAGGAGGAGGTGCTCGGGTATTGACGCGTATTCTCAGCAGTAGATTAAATTTTAAGGATTTTGTGTCTGATGACTTCAAGAACAGTTGGACACCTGAACACGCTCGCCTCGCCTCTTCGTTCCTCCCTCTCCTTCCTCCCTCTCATTCTGCCCCTCCCTCCCTTCAGCTTATTCTCAACTCTCCTCCTCTTCACCTCATCTTCCATCCTCCAAGTTCATCTTGATTCTCCTCTCATCGCATACTCTAAACTTTGTTCTGCTGAACTCATTCGGCATTTTGACTTTTTGTTTTGACTACCCCCACCCCTCCAATGCTACCTACGATTGTATCGTGTATCTCTTCCGCCTGCCTCCACCAGTTGCCCTTCCTGCCCCTTCCGTCCAGCCAGTCCGTCTATCCTCCTCTCCCTTCCTCGCCTCTTCCTGTACTCCGTCCGATCTCCCCCTCCCCTCCCTCGTCTATCTCACTCCCGTTCCCCCTCCCTCCCTCCCTCCCTCCCTCCCTCCCTCCTTCCCTCCCTCCCTCCCTCCCCTCCCTCCTTCCCTCCCTCCCCTCCCTCCTTCCCTCCCTCCCTCCCTCCCTCCCCTCCCCTCCCTCCCTCCCTCCTCCCCCGGTCTCTTCGTCACTTCAAAATCATCCTCTCGTCGTCTCTCGCTCCCTCTCGCTCCCTGTCTTGGACTTTGCATTTCCAAATCTTCCTATCTTCCCGTCTTGCTCCTCTTCATCTCCATCTTCCTCTTTCTCCGTCCCTTCAATCTTCTCACTTGTTGTCCTGCGTCCTGTTTCTCTAATCTGATTGCTTCTGCTTCGTGCTTGCTTCCCCTTCACCTCCTCCTCGATCGTTGCTCCATCATAATTGGTTTCAGCGGGCCATGGGGTCTTCGCCATCTCGCGTGCAGCCTGTTCCTTCCAGCAAGGGATCTCCTCGCACTGCTGCCGTCATCGAAGATGTTGTTGACACCTTACAAGGGTTGTGGTGCGTTACGTTTGACGAGCGTGCGGCATCCGAGACGTTCGATCGAGAGCAGCAGGAGATGCTCAGATGCGTCGACCACTGCTGGGAAGTGAGCGAGAAGCTGGAGAAGGAGAGCGATGAGTGGAGGAAGGAGGAGCTCAGGTTGCTTTTGGCCAAAGCAAGGGAGAAGGTAAGGAGGCTGGCTGTAGCCAACAAGGTCCTGACGTACTTCAGATGCGGTTCCTGAGGGCCAAGAGGAACTTTTCGAGTCTTGAATTCACTCATGCCCTCCCCTCGGGACGTCAGACGGTCAGGTTGACGCCCTCGTCCCTCCTCTCTTACCCTTGCTGTCTGACTCGTCCCACTCAGCGAAACAAAGACCGCTGCTGGACCCCGCGACGACTCTCCACTGCTTCCTTTCAGGGCCGAGGGGTAAGCTGGTAGTCTCTAAGCTCATTCGCTGACGATGAGCAGGCCGGTGGAGAAGGAAGAGAAAACCCAAGGGAGGAGAGGAGCAGAAGGAAAGGAGAATTCACGAAACTCGCAAGCAGCGAGACAGCAGAGAGGGCAGGACAAATGGTTGGCTGAGCAGACGAGGCAGAATGAGGAGCGGAGGAGGCTCCTCGCCAAGTCTCTCTTGTACGACCCAAGTAGATGGCGGTAAGCTCCATCCCTACCTCCCTGATTGCTTCCTTCCTTCTCCTGCTCCCTCCTCTTGCTCGCTTCCATTTTTTTCGTCTCTCTCGATGCTATTTCCTCTCCTATCTCACTCCTATACTCCTTACCTCCCTTCTTCCTCTTACCCTGACTCGACATCTTGTGTTTGAGTATGTTCACTGTTCTTTTGCCTTACTTTGTGTGCTGCTTTTCGATCATATACTGCCTACCATTGTGGTTGTTCGCCTTGGCTAGCGTTTCTGATCTGTCAGTTTGCTTTCACTTCTCATTTCATTTTCACAGGGATCGAGTTGTCTGCAAGCTTGCGCGAGAAAACGCGGAGATGGAGGAAATCATTGCGAATTACAGCGATGCAGCTTCAACAGTCTGCACCATCAGTCTAGATAGGTGAAGTTGCTGGAATCGGACATGAAAGTGCGTTCGAAAGGAGGGAAGGGAAAGGGAAGGGACAGGAGCACAAGAGCTCTTCGGATCGAAAGTGACCTTTCACTGGTTTCCATCATCGGTAAACGAGAACTTTCAGCTAGAGCTAACCTACATTCATTCTCACACATGTATATGAGGGCTTCTTTGTACATAAGGGGAAACAATATCTTCACTCGTCCTCGTGCTTTTGTTATGCACGGTAGATCCCTTCAGCGAGGGGGTGTAGGGATATAGACAGCTGGTAGTCATGGTAGGACCTCCACATGTGGTTATAGCGGAGGGGATGACCGAACCCGACGTTGGGATATTTCTTGCTCCCCTGAGCTGCCAGCTGCCTCCCTCCCTTGTTCTTGTAAGGCCACTTGACAAGTCCCAGCTTCCGGCAGACAAGCTTCATCGTTGATTTGCCGATACCAAGCTTGGACGCCGCAACGGGGAGGCTCTCGTGGAAGTGCTGCTCGAGCTTCTCCCATGTGATCTCAACCGCACAAGAGTTCTGCATTGGGAGTTGCCTGGACTGGATCACGACCACCTCGCACTTGCCCTTCTTAGAGTCGTCGCTCTCCTCCTTTACAGCAACAGCCTCGTCCCTGGCTTCCTCCACAGCCTCACAGTCCTTGAGGTTGAGGACAGAAGACCAATCTGCATCTTCTACTCCTTTTCTAGCTCGGTCCACACAGGGGAAGTTTCCTGCTCCTCTGGCTCCAAGAAAAGCTGATTGTCGTCCATGTCGACCTCGGAGTCGGAAGATACGAAACTCTCGTCGCTGAGATCTTCCATCTGCAGATGGGTCCTCATATCAAAGCACTCCATGTCTGCTGTCGCGGAATCAAAGGGAAGTGAATGGCTGAAGGAAATGAAGGGAACGGGTCGGGGCAGGGGGGAGAGGCAACGTACGAAGCTAACAAGTTGCGGTCGAAGGCGTAGAGAGCTGGTTTGCAACCCACGGAGTAGGATGTGGAGGATAAGGGAGGGGAGTGCTAGAGTTGAAAGCGAGAAGTTAGAGGAGGGGGGCGGGGCACAGGATGTGAGGGTGGCGGAGGGATGAGCGAGGAGGGAGGGATGGGGGGAGGGAGGATGAAGATGGAGGAAGAGGGAGGTAGACTGATGACTCTCGTGAAAAGGAGGTGGGGTAATACAGGACGGGGTTGTACTAAGTGGAGGATAACAGCACACTAGGGTGGGTACAAGAAAGGGGTATTAAAACAGGAAAATTGAAGGGAAAAGTATGGGTAGGTGAATTTACACACGGGGTACTTGATTGAATGTTTCTCAAGTCAATGGGGATGTGAGGGGTGGGTGATATGTCAACGGGCGAAAGTAGGGGTTAGATTGGGTATCGGGGTTATTCCTCCAGTTCTGATAAAAAGATTTAAACGAGATTTGTTGAATCTTTGCTATTTTGAAACGCTTGAGTCTTCGGTTCTTCCCCAAGTTTACCGAAACGGTGCATTTTGGACTATCACTGTGAAATCCGGGGAAGAAACTCTTTTGAACACATCGTTTCGAACATTCCCCATGTTTTCCGAAAGTTCGAGAAGGAGTGGAACATCGAGGGGCCCGAACGCATGGCAACAGACTGCCAGGGGAGGAAAGAAGGATGGGCGAGAGACGGAGCAAACAAAATCTAGTCGTGCTTCAGCTTTGTCAAATGAATAAAGAAAGCTCAGGAGAAATCTAGTAAGCTTCCCGCCTGTTGATTTGCCTGCGATACCCTTGAGCTTCACCCTGTTCGAGGAGGGGGAGGAGGCTGTTACCTGCCCAGCGCCAGTCCTGGCTCTCGTTTCCTCTAGATACTTGTTGATATTCAGAGGCGTCGCCTGCAGTGCAACGAGAGAGAAGGAGGCGAAAAGTCAGCCTAGAAGACTTGCTCGGGAAAAGGAAAGATGGTTTCACCTTCACAGACGAAGGAGCAAAGGAGGCGGGGGTTGCTGGAACGCTGCTTCCTCCCTGTCCACCACTCTGTCAGGAACACCAAGGTGCTTGTAGACGCATACAGGGTAACGATGATAAAACTGCGAACTCCCACCACTGGGCGCGATCTGATTCGAAGTCAGGCAGATAGTCGGAGCGTCTAATCGTAGTCACGACCTTGAGTGGAATCTCCAGGATCTCTCCGGTGCTGGGCGATTGAAGCAGATGAGAACCAGCAGGAAAGAGAAGCACAGGAAGAAGGGGGAGAGGGAGGGAGGAGGGGAGGGAGGGAGGGAGGGAGAAAGGGAGGAAGGGAGGGAGGGAGGGAGGGATGGAGGGAGCGAAAGCGGGAGAGCGCGGCAGTAGGAGGAAAGGAGAGGAGGGAAGGGAGGGCAACGGTGGGAGGGAACGGGAGTGCTAATGATTCAGAGGGAGGTAGTACCTGAATCCAATCTCTCCCAGTGCCTGTATCCTGAGCACACCTAAGAAGGAGATCATGCATAGGTAGAGAGACGAGGAGAGGAAATGCGAACCGACGGTTGGGTCCTTCAGCCCCTTGTCTGCAAGGAGGTCGGCAACCTTGCGTCGTAGCTGCAACCCAAGTGAGGCCACCATGACGCGAGCAGAGAAGGATGCAGAAGCTGCAGAACGATGGGAGTGCTGGGAAGGAGAGAGAAACGGATGGATAGAGGAAGGCAAGGGAGTGAACAGGGAAAGGAGGGAGGGCAGGGGGGAGAAAGGTAGCTGAGTCAGTAGGACCTGCATGATCTCGTTGGCGTCTTCCGCGTTCCTCAGCTTGGCCTACAGAGGAGTATGAGGAAGAGGCAGCGCGGGGAGTCTCGAGCACCTCAATCAGCATCTCCTCCAGCTCTCCCCTCGTGTTGTCTCTGCTCAAGCCGCTGCTTCCCCGCTTCACTGCAGCCTCCAGCTCCTCGTTCTGCCCGCCTCTCGTCACCAAGAGCTCACAGCTGCTGTCGAGCTGGACACCGTCCAGTCTTTCCTACCTTGGACTTGAGCTGGGAGTTCTCAGCACCTAGCCTTCTCAGCTCCCGACCAGCTGCATTCTGCGAGGTCTGTCAAGCTCATGGCCTCAACGTTCAGCTTTGCCCCACCTGAGCCTCTCTCGCACTCTCGAGTGCTCTGCTCAGCTCCTCCACCCGCCTCATCAGCAGCTTCTCTTGCTCGCTCGAAGCGTGCGGTGCCGGGGCACTCGCGCTCGGGGGAAGCGCCGGAGTCTGCGGGAACGCGAAGCCGAGGTTGTCCTGAGCTGGCGGCAGGTTGTGCTGGGGCTGTTGGGCGGGAGGAGGGAAGCTGATTCCTTGCATGGCATCGAAGGTCATGCCATGAGGTGCTCCTGACACTGGCAGGCGTCAGAACGATCGTGTCCTCTCCTCCCTCACCTTCAAACGTGCTGAGCGAGCTCTGGTGGTGCTCCCTCTGTGGGGTCTCGAGGAGCTGAGGAGTCGGAGGAGGAGCCATCTCTCTCTGAGGCCCTGCGGCTCCAGCCCCTGCCATGCCAGTCAGGAGGCTGACGGAAATCAACGAGGAAGAGGAAGGTGAGGAGAAGACATGATGATCAGAGGAAGGGAGAGAGAGGAAGATCATGGAGGGAGGGATGTTTCATTGGGAGAGCATGGAGAGCGTGGCAGGTTCTGCTTCCACAGACCTCTCCGAGACCGTCGGTTGTTCGTTCCTGCTGCACCAGACTCAGCCAGCAGCCTCAAGAGGATTTGAGTACCTGGCGGAGGAGCTCCTAACGAGCCAGCCAGGGCAGACAATGCGTTCGAGCTGCCAAGAGGGACGGGAAGTCAAACGCATCATGGTGGGGAGAACGAGCCGGCAGTGGGGCCGAGAAATGGAGGGATGGAGAGAGGAAAGAGGGAGCGTGGAGGAGGCGAGAGGAGGGAGGAGGGAGGAAGAGGGGGGGGGAGAGCGGGCGGTAAGAGGAGCCAAACGATACAAGAGGGATGTACAACACCAAGGAGCTACCTGTCTTGGGCCTCTGCAGCGATCTCGTCCTTAGTTCGAATCTTTACCATCAGTTTCGGTTTGTCATGAACCACCTTGGTGTCGTCATGAGCAGAGGAGCAAGCACCAGAACGTGACTCACCTCTCCCCACTCGTCCTCTTCAACTTCCTCCTTGCCTTGCGTGAAAGGCTTCTCCTGCCCCACTCCAACATGAATGGATGAATGGAGGCTGTCAGAGGTAAAATGTACCTGCAGCGCAAAAGCGTCCAGCCCATCTGAATGGTGGCCACCAGCAGGAGCAGGTGTGGGAGCAGCAGGAGCGGAGGCAGCAGCAGGAGTGGGAGCAGGAGCGTCAAACAAATCCCAGCCAGCATTTTCGGTGGAAGACGGAGGAGCAGCCGAAGGAAAGGAGAAGGCGTTAAGTTCTCCACCTGGAGAGGCAAAGTTGTCTGCAACGTGGGGCTAGTCAACGTGAAGGGAGGTAGAGGAGAGAAGGGGGAGGAAGAAAGGATGAAGAACGGATGACAAGGAGATCTCAGGTGGGTCCTTACGCTGAGCTGAGCTGGGCATGTCAAACTGGTGGGAAATCTCGTCAAAGGAAGCGGGCGAGGTCGCGGCCTGGGGTGACTGCATCAGCCTTGAGGAGAACCTCAGCCGAATGACAACCTGAGCGGGAGCAGGGGGATGAGCAGGAGGAGGAGCTGGAGGAGCGATGGCCTCAAACATGGCAGCGATGCTGTCTTCAGTAGGAAGGACTGCGTGCCATTGAGCGCCACACGTGCATCGGACGTCTTCCACCCTCACCGTCTTGCGTGGCGGCTGGCTCATGCACGACGGGAGGCTGGTGGACTTCGGTAGCAGACATTACTGGAAACTCGAAGGAGACTTCAGGCGCATCTGCCGGGTACTGAAACTGATCGCCTGAAACAAGTTGAGGGTAAGCACACGCCCGACAAGAGCCAAACAAGCTCTACCTCCTCCCATCTGCATGGCGAAGGGCTGCTCTTGGAGACCGTTAGCCTCTACTCCCCCCAGATCTGCCATCTCGTTGTGCCCACTTTCCTCTGCCTGCTGATTTTGATCCTCCCCATCAAAGATTCCCAACCCTGCAAACCCTTGCATCCCGTCGCTCTGCACAGGACCGATCAGCAAGGGCAGGCAGCAAGCTCGGAGCTCTGTTCACCTGTGTGGTGAGCATGCTGCTGTCATCAAACATAGGAGCTGCACGATGAAGATCGATCGTCAACCTCTGTCAGATCACCAAAGGAAGGCACCCACCTTGGAGCACCCCGATCGAACTGGCAGGCCCAGAGGTCGGAGACTGCTTCTGCGGAGACTCTACCCTCCACCCCCCTGTGCCCTCCACGTCTGTACCGATGATCGTGCTCTGGAACGGATCGCTGAGATCAAAGGGCTGGGACTGGTGATCAGAATGCGGCGGTCCTTGGGGGCTGGCCGACAGCCCTTGCATGCCGTGGGCCAGGTGGTTGGAGGGTTCGCCGTCCCCCGACGGGGTGTCGTCGCCGAAGATTCCTCCCATGGTCTCTGCGATGTTCATGTCCACCTTCATCGGCGCCGAGAACATGTCTGAAATGCCTCCTGAGCCCTCCTGCTCCAAGTTGCTCACGGCAGGGGCAATTTCGAAAGGAGCTTCGCCCTGCTCATTGGGCCTGTGGAGTCAGGGGATCAGTGGAAGGACAGGGATGAAGAGCATGGCGTACCAGCTCATCGGTGGAGATGAATTCTGCTTCTGAAAGGCCTGAAGTTGTTTGCGCTTGCCCTGCAAGCTCGTGTCAACAGGACTTCAGCAAATCGCTCCACCCTCTTGTCCTCAAATCTGCATTGTTTCTAGCCCCCCCCGCAGGGTAGACTGTATCTAGAAACACCTTATTTCTCTTGTCTTCCAAGAAGCTGCCTTCCCAACATAACTTGCCCCACCGATCCACGGGATTTGCATCCTTTCCTCTTCTCCCCTCTACTGGCACGCTTCGCGCCATCCATTCTCCTTCTTCTATTCCTTCTGTCCTGTCGTTCCCTCTGCCCTCATGACCATGACAACGACACTGTGCTGGGTCATCAGGTTGAGCTGTTCTGTCCTCCTTATCTCAACATTCTTCTCGTCGACCTGCCCTATTCGTCGCCATTGCAAATCTGCATGGAAGGGATCGGGATTCGTTTGCCACCGGTAGTGGATGAAAAAGAAGGGGTAGGTAGCTGTACCATCCCTACTATTCCAGTTCGTACATCCATGGAAAGTGATTTTATAGTAATCACTATAATTATCAGAGCATATCCCCATCCGTGGCCAGTATTAACCATAGGTAATTTGAATGATGGGGGTAGTAAGTGACCCGGGTGATTGAAAATGAGGGGTCGTTGGACTAGGGGACTAATGGCGATAAACAAAAAATTTACTACCCCACCCCTGGAAAAGACTACCCACCATATAAATTTGAGTTACATACCCCACCATCACTGCTTCAGGAAACAACATAAGATTTATACCCTCTGCAAGTACCCCCGTATCACCAAGGACCCTATCAAAATTTCGACCCCACCCTTGCAATTTTCCACTACACCCCCAACGTGGGTTCCTACAACCTCCAGTGCGCATTGCCCATGGGGTGCGGTCTAAATTAGTGGGTAGGGGTACTTTGACTACCCCTACGTACTAGTTTAATTCATACACACTCTTCATGAGAACGAGCAGTAGTGGTGCTCTGAAGATTGTTATCGACAAGGGGGTGGGTGGTAGAGTGAGGGGTATGTAGGAAAGCAAAGGGGGTAGTTTGATAGCCCAAGGATCGGACATGCCAAGCAAGCATCACGGCCAGGAGCATATGCGACGAGAGCATGAGCGATGGCCGTGAAGGAGAGAGAGGATGCGAAAGGCATGCTAGAACACTTGTTGCACGTACACGCTTGCGGATTCAACTTCATTGCAAACTGCATCAATCGTCGAAGCAAGGGAGGACAGTTTTCAGACACCTGTCATGATCTGTAGATTAGGAGGGTCGAAATTGAAAAGCACAGAGATGCTGTTGCAGAGACCTGTTTTGTGGGTCGATTGGACGAGCTTTGGGATGAAGCTTCACTTGGTATCTTAACAACTTGCTGTATCTGCAGAATTCCATTACACGGGCATTTCGTCAGCTTCGAAATCTTCACCTTACAATCGCCATGTGCACATATTGCAACACCGACTTTTTGTTGAGCACCCTCCTCGCCCTGCGCATGTCTTGTATCAACCTCTCGGTTCAGGTTCACATGCTTCTTTCACGTGTTCACGAGCGAGTCGGAGATGTTGAGGACTACGTCGTCGTTCTGCCGCGCCCATAGAACAGCCTCGAACAAGTCGGAGAGGTCCTAGAGGAGGCGACTTAGTGAGGTCGCAGCAGAAAGAAGCTGTGACGTACCCTCTTGATAGGAAGGTAATGGGTGTAGGGCTTGAAGAAACCGTAGTAGAACTCCTCGCATGGAAGCTTGATGCAGTGTAAGCAACGAACGGGAGAGCATCGGCCAAAGGGGAGGCAGGGGGCAGGGAGGCAGGCGGGCAGGCGGGCAGGTGGGCAGGCGGGCAAGAGGAGAAAGAGGAGAAAAAGGAGGAAGAGGAGAAAGAAGAGAAAGAGGAGGGACAGAGAAAAGAGGGAGCAAGTCAGGATATGATAAGAGTAGGGCCTTTTGAACCTGTTGCATGAGAAGGAGACTTCGAATGTGAGCCAGCGATCCTGAGCAGCATCGTGACGAGGGCGACGGAGCTGAGACGATGGAGAAACTTACGAATGCGCATCGACCAGAAGTCATGGCCTTCCAGATGCTTTCCTCGAGCAAATCAGGTAACTTCCACAGACAGACAGGAGGAGTAGCAGGAGCAGGAGCAGGAGCAGGAGCAGGAGCAGGAGCAGGAGCAGGAGCAGGAGCAGGAGCAGGAGCAGGAGCAGGAGCAGGAGCAGGAGCAGGAGCAGGAGAAAGGGAGGGATGGGGGACAGTGCAGGATGTACCAGGAGATACTTGTATCGGGCTGATTCGTGAATATCCCCGAACTGGGGGATCCCGTCCTGAACATGCAAGATATGCGAAAGGACGAGAAGGACGAGACTTGACACCTTCTCAAGCATGTCTGTCCGGATCTCGTCGTACCATTCCGCATCCACAAGGTCTTTTGCTACCTGTGGGGAAGTGAAACGCGAGCGAGGAAGGGAGGGAGAGGGAGAGGGAGAGACAGAGAGACAGAGAGACGGGGAAGGGAGTGGGGAAGGGAGTATACGAGCACCTTGCTCATCGTCATGGCCGCTGTCCTTCCATGTGACTTGTAGAACCAGCAGCTGGCAGGAGCTCTCTGTCAAAGATAGCATACCTTGTCACTACTGCTGTCACCTTCCTCTGAAAAACGCGACATCAAGCTTCGAGTCCCAGGGGAACAACGCTTCTGTTGTTTGAAACCTGCCTGCAAGTTCAGGCCAGCAGTTCAGGGACTCTGTTGCAGCTGACAGCTCGGAGTATTCTTGGTCGAGGAGGTCAAAGTCGTAGAAGGTGGTGGGAAACGAGATGTCGTAGGAGAAAGCGCAGCTGCAGGATACTTGAGAATGGCCCCGACAGTCCCAGTCAACCTTGTAGCGGAGAAGATCGCAATCTTGAGAGGGTTCGTCTCGTTGACCTGGGAACATTGTCACCAAGAGGACAGTCGACGACAAGGGATAGAGCAGCAAGTCGTACCCTGATGATGGGATTTCCAAAATGATTCCCATAGATCCGGTAGTGCCTGTATGTTTATCAGTGCAACATTCGACCTTAACTCCATGAGCTGACAGCTGCCAGTCGTGGCCATGAAACTGAGGCTCGTGCTCCTTGAAGCTTCCAGCAGAGCCTCCAACAGCCTCGCACGACCTCGATGCTCCAGAGCGAGCGCTTTCTAGGAAGGATTCCTGGGAAGCAGTTTGAGGTGTACCAGCCATCAGCACGAGGGCCGCACGTTCAGCGCGAAGGGAGGGCAGTAGGTCGAATCTCCCCAGCTCATCGTGTCTTCCTGGCTCCGAAGGACTTTGTTGTAGTCATGAAAGTTGATCACAAACTCTACATCCGGTAGGTCCGGTTGTAACTTGACCAGCTTATCGGGGCCAGTCAGAGGACAAGGGGAAGCTCAGGTTGGTGAGAGGCCTACCTCTGCGAATATGGTGTACACAGCCTTCACGCGCTTCCGGTGGTGCTCGTTCCAGAATGGCTGGATCCCACCCACAGCATAGACTGTACCGTTCACAATCTTGTGGCAACTCCACGTTAGCACATTCCTTCTTTCTCGCACAGAAGAAGTTCAACCTGGAAGTGAGTGTTCCATCGTGCCTCGTTGGGATCGCAAGTATCTTTGCATGCCCCGAGTCTCATCGCCAGCTTGACTGCGTCGGCTCCGAGCCCATGCTCCTTGTACGGCTCCAACTTCCTGATGACCGCCATGTCAAGGTATTCCTTGCTTTGTGTCCTTGTTCCCTAGAAGTTCTCTCCTCCCTCTCACCTCCTCAGGAAGGAGTCGTAGACTGCGAACGTCTCTTCGTCGTACCATCCTGGTCGATCTCCCGTCGTCATCGTCGCCATTGTCGCCAGTGCCGCTACAACCCACCAGTATGACTGCCTCATTGCGCCCATTCCCCCCTGGGCATCGCGTTTTTACTCAATATACCATGACCCTACCACCCCCTCTTCTTTCAGGAACCACCTCCACGATTCCCACAGGACATATAAAGGATATGGCTTGCTGGAGGGCGGTACCCGACGGCATGAAGCAGCAGCTCCTCCTCCTCCTCTCCTTCCTCCTCCTCCTCTCTACCTCCTCAGGCTTCTCGTTCTCCTCTCCTGCAGCGGGGCCTGCCAGGCTCGGCATCGCAAGGCATCGTTGCATGCAACCCTCCCACCTGAGACCCACGATGATGGCGACGGAGGTGCAGGAGCAGAAAATCTCGTTGGAGGATGAGAGATCGTTGCAGTTCCCATGGATCTTCAAAGGAAGGGTTTGGTTTCAGCCGAGGATAGTTAGGAGCAAGCAGGAGAGCCTGCCGTCAGGAGCCGCTCCTCTCTCGCTCTTCGGGTGGAGCCTAGGGGGGGTTGTGTGCCTGGAGTACGACGAGTCTCCCTTCGGAGCATACCTTGAGTTCGTGGAGATGGGATCGCTGGTGCTGCAGCAAGGCTTCGTCGGGCACTGGGGCAAGAGGCTGTGCGTGAGCACCAAGGGGGCGGAGGAGAGGTGTAAGGAGATCTGGGGGGTACCGGCAGAGAGCATCAACATCGACTTTGATGCGGCTCCTGCCACGAGCATGAGCGTGGAGCAGGGAGAGGAAGGTGTCAGGGTGCTGGGATGGGGCAAGATGGGCAGGGACAAGGCGGATGACTACTGGGGCAGTATCCCCCTGCTATGGACGCCGCAAGTCAAGACGCTGTGGTTTCCCGTGCAGTTGGGAGCAGGGAGCGGGAGGGAGGAGGAAGGACTGAGGCTTCACAGGCTGAGGGTGTCGGGGAAGGATGTGCGGATCACTCTAGATCGACCCCGTGTGCTGCCGTCAGGAGAGTTTGTCCCCGGGATCGGGCTGGGGGTGAAGAACGTGAAGATTGAGATCTCAGAGAGGTTGGGAGCGAGCATGTGAGGGCGATGGGGCAAGGGAGGTAGAGCGCTGCTAGGATAGCGAACTACAAAGATAGAGAGCTGCTGGTCTGTCTGGCAAGAGAAAAGATGTTCACATGTGGGTGTACTTTGTTTCATAAGTATGACAATGAAACCATGGTTGCTGTTCGCTCTTTCGTCTCTTGTGCTTGACTTGTTCACTTGTAGTATTCTCATCTATCACAATCCTTGCTATCGTTTTCTTGCTGACTTCTTGCTTCTTCCGCACCTTCCCCTCCCTTCCGTGCGCTACCCTCGTCGTTTTCTTCGCGTTTGACGCCCCCACTCTCCTCTTCCTGCTTCTCCTGCTCCCCAAAATGCTGCTCCTCCTCCCCCTCCTCCTCCTCGCGTTTTGAAGCGAGAGTACCAGAAGCTTCTTGTCCCGCCAGCTTCTCTTCCTCGTCCTTGTCCTTCTCCTGGACGTCCGATTCTTCTCTGCTTCCAACCCGCTTTGATCCTTCACGGCGTTGAGCTGATCCTTCCTCCTGCTCTTCCTCCTGCTGCCTTTTGTTCTCTTCCCCTCCCTCCAACGGCTTCTTCTCCTTCCTTCGAGTTTCTTCTTCCTCCTCGCCTTTCGCAGTTTCTCTTCCAACTGTCGAGCTTGCGTTGTGCCCTGACTGATCAAACTGACGACTGCCATCGGGCTGGTGGTCTCCTGTGACTGCTTCAGGAGAGGAGGAGGATGAGAAGGAGACGAAAGGCAAGTGCTATAGAAACGAAGGTAGAGGAGGTGAGGTAGCAGCGTCAAACGCAATGGAAGGGGAGAAAGGAGTTGAAATCGGAGGAAAGGGGAATAGGAAACAGGAGATAAATGCTTGGGGGAGATGGAAGTGGAGGTGGTGTTGAAGGAGGAGGAAGAGGGAGAGGCCAAGGGGTTTAGGTGGTTTCAACAGTAACCTTGTGGTCGGCGAAATCTCCTCCTCCTCCTCTTCGCGCATCCTCTTGCAAAACAAGGTCCCATGAAGGCAGTGAAGAGAGTCGCTGTCCCCACAAGAACGCTCATCCAGATCTCCAGCCCGATGCCTGGAGAGGAGGGGATGAGAGCAGGTACTGGAGAAGGTAGAGGAAGAGAAGCAGGATCAGGGGGATAGAAGAAGGAATGTCGAGGAGCCGGAAAAAGGAGGGCGAAGGAAGGTAAAGATAAAGAGCAGGAGCAGGAGCAGCAGCAGGAGCAGCAGCAGCAGCAGGAGCAGAAGCAGGAGCAGCAGCAGAGGCACGAGCAGGAGCAGGAGCAGCAGCAGGAGCAGGAGCAGCAGCAGGAGCAGCAGCAGGAGCAGGATCGAGAAATCGGCTACCGAGAACAGAAAGAAACGGGCGAGGATGACTTAGATTATGCTCCTCTGTCAGGCAAGACACTATG